TGGCTACTTACTGGGTCAGGTTCCTTCTAAACTGTTTGAGTTGTTGTTGGGTACAAACTCGGGTAATGTGTTGTTGTTTGGCCGAGATGAGATTTTTGGCCAACTGGGCATGTTCGAGCACCTCTGCATATGAGCTGGGTCTCAGCATCGCGACCCGGTCATAGATGTCGGCATTAAGGCTCTTAAAATATTTTCTAGCTTTTCGGCTATTGGGGATGACCATTAGAGGGACAAACCTAGATAGTTGAACAAAACGGGCTACATATTGGGCAACCATCAAATTCCCTTGGCAGAGGTCCTAAAATTCCTCCTTCTTGATTCCTCCTCCTTTTTTCGGACATAGGTAGGGAAAAAGTTATCAGAGAATACATTCATGAAAACTTCCCAAGTGGTAAGGGTAGGCACGACTTTCTTTCTAAATTGACACCAGTGTTCTGTTTCGCCATTTAGCATGAAGGCTGCAAGGAAAATTTTCTGTTCCTCGGTCAGGTATAGTATATAGAAGAGTTTCTCTATTTATAGGATCTAGGCTTCAGCTACCAAAGGATCAGGGTGACCTTCAAAGTGTGATGAGTTAAGTTTCCTAAACTTTGCTATGTTGTAAAAAATTAATCTTTCAGTATTTCGAAATTCAGGGGCAGGAGGTGGACAAAAGTTGGCTTGATTTTGTCCTACAGCTATAGTTAATCCTTGGATAGCTCGAAAGAGTTCGACAAATTCAGTCATGGTTCGGTGATTCAGGGCTTCAGGTTGCTCAATACGCTTTATGGATGGTTTTCCTCGCGTCATTCCTACAAAAGAAAAGAAGACACGAGTTGGTGGTCTAATTTTGAAAAGATGACTTATTTTTCTTAGGTACTCTAAGGGCTTTTTCTACCTAAGGCCTTAGTGTAAGAGATTTGATCTGCAATTATTCTGCTATGATACTATCTGTGATATTGCATATGCTAATTAAGGTAAATGGGTGTCAGATATAGATTTAGAATAACGAGTGTATGATAAAATATATGTAGCAGAACAAACTTATTACAAATTTCTTACAAATATATATATATATATGAGTTCCAATTACACACATATAACTAAGATCTAAAGTGACTATAAAATATAAAAGAAACAAAACACAAAAGAATTTCACTTCTTTCACTATGCTATTGGACTCATCAGAGTACGAGAATAATCATGCACTCAAATTTTATGGATCCACGGGATTCTTATAGACTTCCAAGGGTAGGTCAGCCTGTGATTCCTCATTTTCTTCCTCATCTAGGGGGGATGAAAAGAGTGAGTTCATATGCTCAGTAAGAAAAATAATAATAAATTAACATCGTAAGATTTTAAAGGTGAATTATCTTAATTTACAAGCTTATCATTTGGCATCCTCGTAGACCGATCTTACATTATAAAATCAATTTATTTATTAAAAACACAGTACATTAATATGAATAAATCAAACATATATCCTGTTAGATAATAGAGAAAATTAAATAAATTATGAAATGTTTAGATTTTTATGTCATGCTTCGCAAAATCGTTACAACTTTCATCTCTGAAGGCATATACAAATTTCCAACTACCCAATGAAAATAACCAAATCAGATACAAATATGACAATTTGCTCAGACCCATTTCCAGCTGGCCAACTCATGACACAATCTATGACTATGGTCGTACCAACCATAATGATCCTAACATATATCTATGGTCACGACATTACTTAACCACGGGTGACCCCTACAGATATTCGCGTTACCACTCTCATAAGAGGATATGTTGTCATTCAGTTGGAGCGGTCCTCTTACATCTTTCCAAACCAGATAGGGGAGAGGGAAACAGATACCTTGAAGGGCAAGTGGAACAGATACCCTTCAGAGATAAAAAATCTAACGAGACACCTGATACAATATGCATGACAATACAGATATACTTCAAACCAACATGCTTAATTCCACATTTTTCTTTTCTTTTTCTTTTTGTACTCTTTATATTTTTTTATCAATTACATATTATATTTATTACATACAATTCATCAAGTGTCTGCGATTCATATAGCATATTTGAAAACAAGAATAATTTGACTTATTTGAACTATGAACACAAGGCATATAAAACAGGCAAAATCACAATCATCATATTTAATAATATTAGTTTATCTAAAAATACTCATTAAGACGTCGAAAGAAATACTAAATTTCTTACCGAAACCTTGATGTTTTTTCATTCACTGATTTTTTTTCTTTCCCTCATTCTCTCACTAGACTACTATCTCTTTCTATCTCTATGTAAATCTTAAAAAATGAAATAATGGAAGTGTGGGGAGGAATGGAAGGGGAATGGTCAAATTATAGAATTTTGGAACCATCGGATTAGTGCCAAGTAGCAAAATTCGATGAAAAGAGAGGAGAACAAGATGCTCAACACGAAAAATGAGGGAAGGGGGTCTCCTCCACTGGTGGTTGCGGCATGCCGCCCAAGGTGATGGCGGCACACTACCCGAGGTGGCAGTGCTCGGATTGGCACGCGTAGGGGCTAGCTTGCTCATGTAGGCCTACTACGCACGAGCCTTAGGCGCGCAAGACGTATCTGTGCAAGCCTGTTGTGCAGACGGTGCGCGCATAGTGTGTGGTGCCTGTCCGCGTCCGAGGTGACGCGCATACGACCTTCCTGTGTGTGACAAGACGCGCATAGGACCTGTCCTTGTGCCACGTGCGCGGATGGGACGTACATGTGTGCGGATGGGACGTGCGTGCTTGCAGATGGGACGTGCGCGCACAGTGCCCAACACCCGCACGGGGAATTTTTCTTCTCCACGAGATTTCTTCTCCTTTTGCTGTTTTTTCGATTTCTCTCAATTTTATAAAATTAATTTAAATATGTTAAATGAAAAAATTAAATAACAAAATTAAAATTAAATAAAATTAAATAAAAATAAAATAATTAAAAATTAACAAAATTTTTACAAATTACGATAAATATCATGTAGAGAAAATTAAATCAGTTCAATGCGGCCAAAGACCCGAATAAATAAGATTTTTCAAATCAATTAACCACAATGATGGGTGGGGTGTTACAACACTTTTCCCACCATCAGCTCATAGCATTTGAACTACGTTGACTTGAGTAGCCCCTCTGCATCCCCGTCCTCCACTAATACTCTGTTGGACACCACATCTATGAACACCAGCATGCCTGCAGTGGTTGTGTGTGACATGTCATTCCACCATTTCGGATAACTAATATATTGAAAGCAGATATCAACATCATGTTCCTTTCACTTGCAATTTGAACAAACCTCGATCTTGTGTTTTCCATCCCCTATTGTCTTTTGATCATCAACCTATAATACAAAACTCATGGGGTTGCCTTTTTCTTCTCTTGTTTATATCATAGTTCCTACTCGTTCTTGTTGCATAACTATAACATAAACTCGATTCAATTTCGTAAAGGTTCGGTGCTCAAGATACTAGAATGTACTGTTCTATATTTATCTTAATCTAATCCTATAGAGAATTGATGAAATTATTTCTTATTCTCTAATTTAATGGTAATGTTACATTTGTACCCAGTGTAACTACATACTGGGATTGAGTTATAATTGTTCAATTCATCCCAAAAAGACTTGAGCTGACCTTAATAAGTGCTTATGCTTTGCAATTTTTGCTTGCAATTTGCAAGGTCTAATCTTAATTATTGCACACATGGACCATTCCCAATAGAAAATCACTGTTTGATTTCTTCCTAGATATCCTTCACGTTCTCCATGTAAGATATGGTTGATCGAAGCATGGGTTCAACGGTGTTAAACACCCATGAGACAAGCATTGAGTTAAAAGTCCAGTAATCTTCAAGTTCATAGTGAATTGTCTGTCTTGTTGTTTGATGATTCCATCAATGAAACCATATTCTTTATGGCTTTTAATGCAATATGCATAACACGTGCTCATTCATCATAATTCTCACATTTCAATTGAATTTGGGTAATTATATTACTTGAATTATCATTCAAAGTCAATATATAGGAGGTTAGCATTTTCTTGTGAAAACCAGCATGTACTTTTAACTCACAATTACTTTGATAAAATGAAAATATCAAAGTAATTTAGGGCCAAAGTTTTTCTTCTTTTTTTATTCCCATGAGTTGTAAATATATACTGAGAAAAAATATACTAAAACTCATAAATAAGGTAAACTCCTTAAGCTACCAAAACTAAACAAGGAATCTCTTCTAAAAAAAAAATATTTATTATTTTTTTATACCTAAAATTAAGAAAAAAAATGGTGATAAAAAAATCTCTAATAATACATGTTATGTAATATAATATATCTTATTTGAGATAATATATCTGACGCGAAAAATTAATCGATCAAATAATACAATATGTTGAAACTGATGATTTATATTACAGTTATTAACGATGTTAGTAGTTATTGACAAAAATAAATTAATTTAAAATTTTTTAAAAAGTAAATTAACTAAATTAATACAAAAAAAAAACATAGAAACTAAAAATTTATTTTAGTCATTGTCAATTTGGCCTTCGGTCAAATTACGTAGCTCCTCTTGTTTTGACAACGTGTCGTCTCCATTTTCTTGCTAACCTCACAAGTTGACGCCCTTCATCTTCTCTTTCTTTTATTTTCTTCATTTTCCATTTTTTTTTTCCAATTTCTTCCTTTTCTATTTTTCTCCTTTTTTTTTTTATTTTTTTATCTTCCGCCTCCTTTTTATATAATAAAATAAAAAACCTAAAATAATAATAATAACAATATTGTGTCATAAAGTTTAATTTTTATTGGTATTTATTTTTAACTGAATAAAATTCAAATATAAAAATAGAAAATAAATATATATATATACAAATGAACTCTCTGTGTACAATTTATATAATATGAGCTGATCATCTATATATAAAAAAAATGGTCGACGTATATATAACACAGATTCACAAAGTTTAGCTATATAACCCCAATCCATATATATGTACATATACTTTATTGTTTCAGTTATATTCATATATATTACTTTCAAAATATATTTGTTGTAAACTTAAAATTTTATTTATAATTATTATTTATTAAATTATATAAGCGATCAGGTAAAATCCAAGATTTCATCTTCTCCTTCCCATCAATGGCATCTCCTTCGGGAAGATACTTCTCCTCCTCTCAGTCTTATGCACCTTCTGCACCATCCTTGCCAGAGTCCTACGACCAGCTGCAGCAGCAGCAAGAGAGGTTCGGGTACGGGTATCAGTCCGGGTACGGTTACTACGGACAGCATGAGACAAGCTACGGTCACCGCTCTAGTTTCCCGCCGGGAACACATCCAGATGTGATAAGAAGCTTTGAGTTGGTAGATAGAGATAGGAGTGGGTTTATCGATGAGATTGAATTGCAGCAGGCTCTCTCTTCCGGCTATCAGCGGTTTAGTCTCAGGACTATTCGGTTGCTCGTGTTTATCTTCACGAATCCCTGTGATTCTCTGAGAATTGGTGAGTGAGTTCTCTTAAAATCTTAATTCCATTATCTGAATTTGTCTGGAATCTTTAATTTTCATTATTTGATGGAAACTGAGATGAATTTGTTACTAAAAAAAAAAAAGAAAAAATTACCGCAGTGAAATTGGGGGATGTGGAGATTATAGCATAATAGGGTTCTTGCAAAGACATACAGTAATATATATATATATATATATATATATATGTTGTGGCTTTTTTTTTGGTTAACTGAGATTATACATGTGTTTTGCCTCTTCTAAGCCGTAGAATTATTGGTCGCTAAGCAGGATTGCGGTATTTCATGATATTGACTTGGCTTTGCTGTTCGTTTCTTTTGACTGCTTGAGTTTATAAAGGTGTGCTTATTCAGATGCTCATAAAGATTTCTGATCCATCAATTTTTTTTTCAGGGCCCAGTGAGTTTGCTGCATTATGGAGCTGTCTTGGTCAATGGCGTGTAAGTAATCTATCGGCTATAAAACTAATTTTTCTAAGTTTCCATTAACTTGTATAAGTTAATTTACTGCTGATTATTTGTTTGGAGTATTATATTGGAGGAGAAATGATATCCATTGAATTGGGATCATATTTCTATTGATGGTTAATAGAAGTTATGGCCAATTAAAATTTTCTATTAAACATTAATAGAAACATGATACCACATTGTCACAATGGTGATGCGAGGCAAAAACTCTGCGGCAGACATCAATATGCATCCATTACAAAATAATTTCTTTGTACCGGACATGCAACATAAGCCTTTTGACTTGAATTCCATTTTTGATGGTTAGATTGAATATATTTACAACCTTATAATTACAGAGATAGACAGATCAAAACGTCAATTGGTTTTAGTATCAGATTCCTTAATACTATACACAAAAGTACATCAGTTCTAAGATGTAAATAGCATGCAGAGCTTGTACCTTGCATTACTCTTATGGGCTCTTAACATTATTTGACTTCCCAAAATATGTTTGTCAATTTTTTAAAAATACTTTTTAAAAGATGAACCATCATTTACTTCATTTAAATTTTCTTGAGGTCTGTTTGGGCGATGCCTATGGAAATTTTGTGATAATGGGCTTATATGCCATTTATTCTGGGGATTACCTTTGTTCTATTTCATATGGTTGTCTGTGCTTTTGAATCTGAGTTACTGGATCTGCTTTGTAGGGCATATTTGAGAGATTTGATAGAGACAGGAGTGGAAAAATCGATGCAGTTGAACTTAGGGATGCTCTCTGCAGTCTTGGATACGCACTTCCACCTTCAGTCCTTCAACTTTTGATTTCCAAATATGAGGATGGAAGTGGCAGGAGACTCGAACTCAGTTTTGACAGTTTTGTTGAGTAAGGGCCTTTTATCTCTTTTTATTCATCTTTTATCTTTCATTGTTGTTGGACATCTAGAATCTCTCTGATATTCTTGTGTTTGTTGGACTTGCAGGTGTGGGATGATTGTGAAGGTGAGAACATACCAATCCTGAACTTGTTCATGTCTATTTTCCCCTGACTTGACATTATAGTTAAGCCAGAACTGCCTCACAAATAAAAACTAAAAGTAGCTTCTTGCTAGTTGTGATTCAAAGTGCACATGCATACACGGAGAAAAACATCATCTCTTTTTAATCATATTCTTTTTCTTTTTTCTGATCCTTTTAGCATGTCGGATAAATTAATTATTTTTGTTATATAATTTGAAACAAATGAATAAGTAAATCTTGACAGTAGTTTTTTTTTTTTAAGATATGTATTTGGGGTTTGTGTTGGTTCTCTTTTAAACTGTGTAGTTAATTTCTAAATTCCTTAAAGGCCATGTTATGAGTAAATGAATTTCATTTTTTGGAATTCATTTAGAAATCCACACTGAACTAGGAAAGAGTCAAATCCATTCAAAATGTGAATATAGATGATATGAGGTAGTTGTGATTTCAGGGTTTGACAGAGAAATTTAAAGAGAAGGACCCAGGTTATAGTGGTTCCGCCACGCTCACTTACGACTCATTCATGTCGATGGCAATCCCATTTCTTGTGTCATATTGTTGATTATGTGGTAAGTTTTCTTTTTATTAGTATACATTTTCTGTTAGTATTTTGACTTATATCTTGTGTACAAAGTGGGTTTTAAATTTAGAGCTGTGAGCGCTCTTGGTATAGAACAAGTAATTAAAGAAAATTATTGTTATCATCATGGTCGATTGTGTCTGATTATACAATTAATTGAATTGTCATTTTTAATAAAATATTTGTAGTTAAAATAATGATAAAACTTATTATAAAAAAATTATGTAGTTAGAATTCATTTATTTGCTTATATAATTTGTTTCGTTTTTTTTTTTTTAAAAATGTTATTAAAGTATAAGAAATATAAGGTATAAAATATGATTTACAGTTACTTAAAAAAAAGGTGAATATAAAAATAAATCATGTTATGTAAATGAAATGTCATTTTGTCACGACACTCAAATCTTCTTTCAATTGTAGATAAAATACTTTAAATAACAAGAAATTAGTTAGAAAAGAACACTAGTGTATAGATATCAGAAGCTGGAGATGATGATTTTAGCACTAACATCAGAAGGTCTGAGAAGATGATGATGGTGTCTGCAACTGGGGGGGATAAAAGACATGGCTTTTCTTGGAAGAGAAAACCATCTAAATTATGAGATTTTAAACATCTAAACATCAAAGTATACTTTGTTAGTGTAGAAATCTCTACACATTCGGTACATGCTCTCTGATATGACTTTAAATATATGGTAAAATATATGGATCTCTTGGGGACTGATTAAATTATACTATTAATATGATTTTATTGAAAACGGTAGTAGAGATATTGAAAATCAAGTTTTAATATGTCGATCTTTAAATGAAAATGCAACCAAGAAAATAACAACCTAATTTTTGAGGCTAAACATCAGAGGATAAGAAAGCATTAAGGATTTGATTTCATTTACATCCAGCTTGTAAGAGTATTTAAAGAATGAAGTTAAACTTTTTATTATGCATACAAATGTAGGATTTCCAATTATTATTATTATTATATTTAGATAAAAAACTAAATTATTTTGATTAAACTTAATTTTCAAGTGTCATTATCTTATTAAGGCGATTAAGTTATGCGGAATCCTTTTTCCGCCAAACTATCCCTTTCAAGTAGAGTTAAATTGACCATACAAATCTTTTAAGGTCTCTTTCAAATAGCTTGTTCAAATTATGCAATATCTTGTAGTTCGCTTGAATAATATTCACACTCAGAAGCACCAATATAGCATTTGAAAAATCTCTTTAAATACAATTTCTTTTTTTGACACTCTCACTATGAATAAATCAATAGTTTAATAACTAAAAGGCATTAAGAATATTTGACTATATTCGTCATGCACAACAAAGAGTTAAACCTCAATTAATTAATTTAGAACATGTAACAGTCCCGGAAATTTAAATGAAATGTATGTATTAAAAATCTCAAATGCGGAAGCGTAATAAAAATTTTGATTAACATCCATTACACAATAACCAAAACGTACTCAAAACATGAAAGAACAAACTAACTAAAAGAGATACTCAAAATAAGAACTATAAATATAACTATGAAGTCTTTAGGCATCCCCTCTGCCGTCTTCCTGTGGAACGGGCTCGGAAACAACGTCTTCCTGATCTGAAATGATTAAATAAGGAATGAGCTATACTATCTCAGTAAAGACATTACACTATCTCATCGCCACGAAAGTAAAGGTGGGTAGAAAACAAAAATGACCAATGGAGCATAATTTATAACAAACTCGTTTATTAACATAAAAACTTTTACTGTCCACTTACCTCGATGAGATACATGAAAACAATATATGAAATCAATAACATTATCATCATCATGAAATCATATAGACTTTATAACATAACACTTACCATACTTTTGCATTTCAATCATTAAACAACATATTTTCCTCTTTTACCAGCCTACTAGTATCCATGGGGATCTATAGGGGGTCCCCGCTACACGTGAACCATTAACATTAATAACCTGATTCTAGGGCCGTCCCCATACCCCGTCCGGTATGGACGCCAAAACACATAAGGTCTCCATACCCCGTCCGGTATGAGAGACCACGTTCCCGGTAGGGTTCGTTGCGGACCCGGTCCGTCCACCATCTCCTAAGATATCTAGTCAGGCTGTCCACATGATCTATTTATCAATTCACATAACCTTTTTACCTTTTTCCTTGATCTCAATCATCCAATCATACACAACATGTAAACCAGTAATTGACACCAAACAAGACAACACAGTATCGGATTAACTGTAATACAAACTATAATAAAAGAAACTATGATTCATGCATACAAGACCATAACATAATTACATCAAACATCATACTGCATTTAATACTGAAAATTAGATCAAACAACAACTGACCAACAATGTATCAGACTCGGTCCTCATTGGCAACTTTAATCAACTATACATCTATAAAGTCACAAAGTATAGTTTAATTATTTATTTAGCTTTAATACCGTGATAGGAAATAAGGTGAGGGGTCCTTACTTGTTTCGGAGTTTGAAATCGACTCTATAGTGCGCCTACGGGCTGTCCTTAATTTCCCTCAATTTTTCTCGAAAAACTGAAACGCACTACCGGTACCTGCACGTGTCCCAAAAAGTCCCAAATCAGACCTAGGGCCCCTTTCGGCCAATATCGAAATTCCGGCACGGTGGCTCCGCCGTGCTCCGGCGACGGCGTCGTCGCCTGCAGCGGCGATCCGCCTCGGGTTGGCCGTTTTCGATCGAATTCAGCCAAACTTGCATCGGTCCCTGCGATAAAACAACCCTAGGACCCTTGGTGGGCCAAAAAATCACAAAAAATCGAGACTTACCGGCGGTGGTGCTCTCGGATACGGCGGCTCCTTCGGTGCGAGTCGCGTTTTGATGTTTGGCTCCGATCAACCTGTAGAGAAAAGAACGGTGATCACAGTGGTATAATATTTGCATCGAATGGAGGCTGGGAAGGGCCTCATCGGAGGCAAAAACAGAGGGGAGTCGCGGCGGCAACGCCGGACTTCAGCGGGGTTTTCTGGCCATTTGGCCGGTGGTTTGGCTCTGGTTTGGCCATAGACGGATTCAACATCGAAAAACAAGCCAGGGGGAGAAAATTTACCTCGATTGGCGGTCGGAAACTTCTCCGGTGCGGCGGCAAGTGGCGGCGGCTGGCTCCTCCGGCGTCTGATTCTTCTTCTCCGGCGAGGCACTGGCGGCTAAGGTTTTGTGGTTAGGTGTGGGTGGGGTTATTTATACCCTTTGCCTTTTAATCTCAACCGTCCATCAAGATTAAATTTGGACCGTCTGATCGCGATTTAATTGGGATTAAATCTGGGCCGTCCATCGCGATGCAATCTGGGCCGTCGGTGCCTGATTGAATCTGGGTCGTCCGTGTGCGCGGGAACAGATCTGGGTCGTCCGATCGCGCGCACGCAGATCGCCCACGTGGCCCGTCCCGTGTCAGCATTTCTTTGCCACGCGGCATGTCCTGGTTGGCCGGGGCTGCTGACCGGGTTGCTGACGTGGCTGCTGACGTGGCACAACTTTTCTAAATTGCATTTTGACTCCCAGTTTCCGATTTTCTTTTCAAAAACACTCCCAGAACTTAAATTTTCACCCATTTTTTTCAAAATCAATTTTAATTAAATCCAAATAATATTTTTACCCAATTTTATCATTATTATTATTTTTATTTTCATTAAATTAAATTAAATCAAATTAAAATCTTATAATTTAAATATATAAAAATTAAACTAAAAATTCAAATACAAAAATAAAAATAAAAATTCAAAAAAAAAATATTTGGGTGTTACAACTCTTCCCTCCTTAAAGAAATTTGGTCCCTCAAATTTGCCTCTTACTCTTGGTCGAACAAATGGGAATACTGGGCTCTAAAATCTTATTCTACCTCTCAGATAGCCTCCCTGGGCGTGTGGTTTTGGCACACGACCTTTACAAATGATATTTCGCAGTTGCGGAGTATCCTACTCTTTCAATCCGTGATACCGACTGGTACTTCTTCATAAGACAAGTCATCTTGGAGTGGAAGCGGTTCATGAGCCAAGACATGAGAGGGGTCCGGGTTGTACTTACGTAGCATGGATATGTGGAACACGTTATGGACTCTGGAGAGCTCTGGAGGCAGTGCTAGTCTGTAGGCAGCAGTACCAATCATGTCTAAGATTTCAAAAGGTCCGATAAATCGGGGGTTTAATTTTCTCATCCTGCCGAACCTACTAATTCCCTTGAAAGGAGTGACCTTAAGAAACACCCGGTCGCCTTTCTCAAACGCTAGGTCTCTCCTCCGGGTATCTGCATAACTCTTCTGCCTACTTTGGGCTGTTTGAATGTTCTTTCTGATTTTAACTATTTTGGACGTGGTCTCCTCTACCAACTCCGAACCGAACAATCTTCTATCGCCCACTTCCTTCCAACAAATCGGTGATCTGCACGGGCGCCCATATAACGTCTCATATGGAGGCATGCCGATGCTTGCTTGGTAGCTGTTGTTGTAGGCAAACTCTATCAGAGGTAGATGGTCGTCTCAATGGCCCCCAGAGTCCAGGACACAAGCTCAGAGCATATCTTGAAGTGTACGAATCGTCCTTTCTGATTATCCATCAGTCTAGGGATAGAAGATAGTACTGAGAGACAGCTTTGTTCCCATAACTTACTGAAAGCTACTCCAAAACCGAGAAGTGAACCTAGGATCCCTATCGGATACTACTGTCACTAGAACTCCATGCAATCTGACTATCTCCCGGATATACATCATTGCCAACTTGTTCAAGGAATCGGTCATCTTGATGGTTAGGAAGTGCGAAGACTTGGTAAGTCGGTCAATAATTACCCATGTGGCATCATGTCCTGAACGTGTCTTGGGTAGCCCCGATACGAAGTCCATGGTGACATGTTCCTACTTCCACTCCGGGATCGATAAGGGCTGAAGTAACCCACCTGGGCACTGATGCTCTGCCTTGACCTGCTGACATACCAAACATTTAGATACAAAGTCAGCTATGTCTCTCTTCATCCTATTCCACCAAAACCGGGGTCGCATGCTTTGGTACATTTTGGTGCTTCCTAGATGCATGACAAACTTTGAGCTATGGGACTCCGTCATGATGTCTCTTTTTAACTCACTGTCTTCTGGGACACACACCCTGTCTTGGAAACGCAGTAATCCATCGGCAGAGATTCGGAATTCTGAGCTCACTCCC